ATCGATGCCCCCCCTTTTGATAACAAGCAATGCCATCACCGGCCCTCCAAAACTCAACTAATAAAGTCCATACAAATATGGTAAAAGTTACTTGTTAGTCCTACATAACACCAAAAGTCATATCTAACAGAGTACAATCCCGAAATTTATATGATTTGGTCAGTCATATCCCCTTGAGGCTATGGTCTCCACATGAACAACGAAACAAGAGAAAAGAAAGTGATTTTGTCTTTTCAACAAAAATGTTCCGATTCAGGTTTTTGAGCGCATTTTACAAAGAAGGTTTTTGTTCTTATCTCTCAGAAATAGACTCATCTCTGAGAAGACAATCCTCATGTATTAGAAGAGCTATACAGCCTCCATAACTAAATGAAATTTATTCGTAGAATAAGGAGGCAAGAGTTTACATAGCAATGCACAAATACAATTTAAATACACATGTTTAAATTTCAATTTAGAACTACTTCTAGAGTTACGGTCCAACGCCAGTATTCTCCCGCTAGTATCACAAGCAGTTGCACTTCTCTTAAACAGACAATTATCCACAAAATCAATTCATCAATTCAAAGATTGAAGCCAAATCAAAAGGATTAATTATCGAGACATACCAGTAGACAATGAGAACAGAGCAGAACCCTAACGAATCAGCGAATCGAAGAGGATACACTTGCACAGAGGGAAGAAATGCGTGCGGAGGAAATTGAGTGATCAGATTGATAAATGAGGAGAGAATCGAGGAAGTCGACCTGTCTTTTGGGATGCCTCAAATATATCGATGCACTTCAACCTCATGAGACTTCAGTTTCGCTCAATTGTGCCATGAATCAGGAAACTCTTACCAGGGAGATACTCTTGAATAGGATTGTACAATGATTGCCCAACTTAAACAAACCAATTTCCCCTCCACGAAGCTACAAAGCTACAGTACAGGACATTCGCCAAATAGAAACACTGTTCTTCATAAAGCTTACCCAAGTATTTATACTGCACAGATATATCCGTTGAATAATATAGCCGTTGGAACTACTGAGTCCTTGATATTTGAATAATTATCCGTTGGAAGGAATTCTTGGGAAATTTGAATAATACAGAGCAGTGGGAAGAAAAATTGCGTCAACGGCATCTTTGTTCTTTTATTACGTTTCCCTAGGAGGGATGAACTGAGGAGCACAGAGTAGATGGATCAGATTATTTCCAATCGGACGGCTCAGATGAATTTGATAATTATGGACTTGTGGCAAAAGAAACCTCGCCGATGAAAAGCGTGATCACTGTTTCTTACAAAACAAGCTAAAATTAAATCAAATAATTTAATTTAAAAAATAATTATGATAAAAAAAGAAAATTTAAAATCATAAAAGCACTACAATGATTAAAAGGAATAAATTTATATTACACATAATATCAAACCCGTACTCAAACCAATAATCTAATAATTAATATACACAATTAATATAATTACATATTAATATAAAATATTTAATTAATTATATATATTTGTTAAAGTTTCTAAAATCTCAAAACTCTCATAATTCAAAATTAAGTTTTTTAGTACTAACTTAATTTCTTAACAATCCTAATTACTCATTACATCCTCCAGATCCTTTAATAAAAAGAATTTTCTAAAATTCTTAAATATGAAATTATTATATTTTAAATTCTAAGCATCCTTCTTATTGAACTCTTTTTATTTTTTTGACCCCCAAGAAAATCAAGTTTCTAAATAAATAATTTCATGAGAAATCCCATGGTATAAATATCACAATTCTCACAAATAAAGAGTTTTTATGCTAAAATAATTATTTTAAAATCTCTAGTCAACCAATAAATAAAACTAAACTAATAGAAATGATTTAATAAAATAACTCTACAATACTATGGCCATCAATCATCAAAACCTAACACTTTCTCCAAATGTTAGATCCGAAAATTCTTTCTAAACAGGTCAAAATCACTATCATTAGATAGGTCTAAATGAGTAAAATAATTTTTATGGGGGAAGGTTCATAATAAAAACCTAAATGAGCTTCAAAATTGAAAAATCACATTAAAAACAAGAAGGTCCCGTGGGCAAGACAAAAGGAATAGAAGATGAGCAGAGAAGTGAGGCGGGGGTTATAAATAAATATTAGGACAAACTATCCTAAAAGGCTTGAGGTCAATTTGCAGATTTACCATTTTTCTTTTTTTTTTTTCCTTTTTTTAAAAAATAAAAAATTCCAATTCTAATTATTTTTTATATACCTATTATTATTGTCATCTTATAATCTCTTTCATTTTTTCTAAATCAATTTTTTTTGGTAAATTTTCTTTACTCAAATAATTATAAGTTTGAATCGTATTTACCATAAAATAATTATTCTCTATAAACACTTAAATCTTGTGTATAAAATTAGGATGTTATAATTCTTTTCACCTAAGAAATTTTGTTCCTATAATGCAGACAACCCCACAAAGAAATCAAAAACAAAAGCAACTCAAGGTACTTACAGAGAAAACAAGTAGGGGTATTCATGATGCATTTGCCCTCAGTCTCCCAAGTAGTATCAGTGGGACTCATGCTCATCCAAAAGACCTTAACAAGGCAGATGGTTTTATTTCTCAATTGTTTGTCTTTCACATACAAAATCTGCTTTGGTTCCACTTGATAGGTCAAATTTTCTCATAGCTTAACCTCTTCAAGTTCACTAACTGTGACATATAGAGCATGTCATGTAAAATAGACAGATGTCGTGTAAGCTTCTTGGCTTTCATGGATTTGCCAACACTCGTGGTAGGTGAAACCTTCATGGACACATCATCACCTACTTTAAACTCCAAAGGTCTCTTTTGACGGTCTGCATAACTCTTTCGTTGACTCTGAGCAGTCAACAACTTTTACGTAATGAGCTCAATCTTTCTTGTTTTGATATCTACTATATCTAGGCCAATAATTGTTCTTTCACTTAATTCAGTCTAATGAAGTGGAGATCTATACTTCCTCCTGTATAAGGGGCCTCGTAGGGTGCCATCTATTTGGATACTAGAGTGATAGCTATTGTTGTAGGCAAACTTTACTAATAACAAGTGAGTAACCCAACTGCCTTTCATCTCTATAGCATAAGCTCTCAACATCTCCTCAAGAATCTCAGCCTATACATTAGTCTAAGGATGATAAGTAGTGCTAAAATTGAGCTTAGTACCCAGGCTTCATGTAATGACTGCCAGAAGTTTGATGCAAACCTTGACTCTGGCATTCCATGAAGTTGAACAATCTCATCTATATACAACTTTGTAATCGTTCCAAGAAGTGAGTATTCCTAATAGACAGGAAGTATGCTGACTTGGTTAATCTATCCACAATCATCCATATCACATTATAGCCTGTTGCAGTTCTTAGGATTCCGGCGAAGAAATCTATTGAGAGATACCATCCTATTTCTATTAGAAAATGTCTAGATTTTTCAATAGTCTTGGAGGTCTCTGATATTCTATCTTGACCTTCTACCATGTCAAATACTTCAACACAAAATTTGTGACATCCCACTTAACTTTTAGCCACCAGTAGTTCTCTTTAAAATCCTAGTACAACTTGGATATCCCTAGGTGTATCATGTAATTACTCCAATACGTCTCTTCTAGAATAATCTTTTTGATTTCCTCATTATTAGAGACACAAATTTTCTTGCACCTCAAGATTTCTTTTTCACTAATTTCATAATCGAGCACATCACGAGTCTTCACTTCCTCTAGGATACTCAACAACTGGTTATCTCTCAATCATAAAAAAACTCATAATCACCTAAAACTGATTGTAGAGTGGCTAAAGCCTCGTGCACCACTTAGAGATGTCTCAATCTCTCTAAGCAGTGGTGTTTCTCTAAACTCATGTCAAACACATGCACTGTTTTTTTACTCAAAACATCGGCAACCATGTTGAAACATCCTTCCTTAAACCCCTTTAAGGACATATTCGAAAGCATTACGGTTCAAGCAGATCATGGAATAAGCCCGTGGATTGAAAATTTTTTAATGTGTTCTTGGGTTACTATTCACTATTTAAATTTCAAATTTTCAGTCTAACTTCAAAAAATCATAACTAATTATAAAAAAATCATATTAAAGTGGTTTAAAATTCTATTTGAAGATCTTTCGATTCTTTACAGGAGAAAAATATCAAACTAGACTTATCCTTGACCAATTCATACAGTTTATTTGTTGAACTTTATTATTTATTTGGTCAATTCTGGAACTTTTAGATTCTCTTCCTCCACTTCTAAAATTCATATCTCCTAATGTATACATCCAATTAAGGCAAACTACCTATATGTTTAAAGCTTGGGATGTGTACTATAAGATCACCAAATTTTGTGATCAGATTCCACCATTTGCTAGGTCAAACTGGAGTTGCAAACTCACTGCTCCATAACCCACGTTTTATCTTTCATTAGCTTCTTACTTTTAATTCTTCCTTAATTCAAGCATACATAATCTCATTCCTTCAATCCGTCATAAACTATTCTCATACATCATCATAGTCAATTATACACATGGAATTAAAAACCAGACCGGACCGGCCAGTTCAGACCGAAAACCAGCGAACTGGTTGCCTGTTCGGTCTGGGTGATCACAAAAACTGGAGAAAAACTAAACTGGTAGGACTCGGTCTAACCTAGGATAACCCGGGACTAAACTAGATAACCCTCTGGGCTAGGCAAGTTACCAGTTTATTTTGGAAAAAGGGGGGGGGGGAAGGAAAACTCAATCATCGGATCTTGCTGTTGTTCTCCTTACCTACCACTACCATACAAAATGGCTTCTTGCTTGTGCTCCCTCTTCCATTCTAGTAGTTAGATCTCCCTCTTGGACCATTGCAGATGCAAGCGATGTTAAGTTCAAAGAAGAGGGGCTGATCAGATCTGGCCAAAGAGAAGTCATAGAGACTGCTGAAAGTCTCCAAGCCATAAGGTGCACTCTTTCTAGCTTGTGGGTGAGCTAAGACTTGCCGGCGAGTACTCCTCTCTTGTTTGAGGAAATCTGAAGACACTCGCAGGTTGCTCCTCTCTAGTTTAAAGATATCTAAAGATGCAATTGATAATGAGTTTTGATTGAGGAAACGACCCGAGGAAGAAAGTGATTGTTATTAATTCCTTATTATTTTTATTAGAGAAAGAGATAGTCAAAAAGGGTATTAATGGAGGAAAGAGATAAAAAATTTGTCAATCTATCAATCATATTGATTGTTGTGTGAGAAAAAAAAGAGAGAGAAAAGACTTGTGTTAAAGAAGGAAAGATAATAAATCATAATTAAAATAAGAATATATTTATAAATTTTTATTAAATTATATAATTTTAATTCCTGGTCAAAAAAAATTATATAATTTTAATTATTCCCGGTTTGACTTCGGTTTGACCTCGATCTGACCTACTGACTCTTAACCCACTGCCTTAACTAGTTCATTCATCGGTCCGGTTTTTAGTACCTTGATTATACATGCCATCATCATATTACATCACATAACGTTGGACATTATTTATATCCTATATTAACATAAACATTATATCATATAATGTAATACATAGGAATTCTCCACCTTCTTTACTTCCGTCTTCTTGCCCTTCTTCATGCATGCTTCCTCATCATTATTAGACCTACTATGGTTAGTTAAGGGAGGTGTGAGATTTTGGAGAATCTCAATAGCAAACGTTACTAATTAATTATGCAAAATGGATGCTAATGCTTGATATGTAAACTTAAACATCTTGTAACTTGCTTAATGCTTCATACCTCATGCATGGCCATAAACAGCATCTTTAGCAACTTAAAACATGTCACAACATCATTCAAACATCATATACATATCAACACATAAGTATACTATATCAAGCAATATTAAAGGGTAAGTTTACTACCTTGTACCATAAGCTTTCTTCTTGATTTCTACTTGCTCCCTAAGCTTCCCCATCATGATAACTCTCAGTCAATATCTCCAATCCATCCTCTTGGATGTCCCAAGATCCTACACATAGCCACATTGATCATACAATTCATTAGGACTAAGAGATTATACAATGTTTAAGACTAGCTCTCTCGAACTTAACCTTTTCTTTTAATTTTTGGATTAGTGTTATAGCTTTGTAACAATAATTCTCTTAGGCCAATCTTACACAATTTTACCCAAGGAATCAAAATATGAGCTTGGATTTATAAAAATCCAATTCCTTTCCCAAGAACATTGCTAGGCCGAGACATAAGGGTTGGAATTCCCAAAATTTCACTTGTGTCCACACAATTTTCTATTCTAAATCCATTAAAAGCCTTAGAATCATCAAAAACACATCCTAAGGGGAAGAACATAGCAAGGTCAAGAGGTCCCTTAATGTGACCAACTCATGCAATTCAACCAATACAAAGTTAGAACCACTTAGTTAAATCCTACCCCATACTATCCCTTAAACATAGATCTAACATCAATTTCATCTTTTCCTAATTTTATAAATTTCATGCAGCAGCTGGACCCAGGGATTTTAAGCCTCCAAACTCATCAAAATCATGAGCAAACTAGTTAAAAACCAAGGTAGGTGCTAGGATTATAATATACCTTGATCTTAAAGCTTGAATCTTTGCTTGGTTCCTTGCTCTTCCTCTTCTTCTTCCTTCCCTTCATTTTTTGGCAGCACCTTCCCTCTTAAACTCATGTGCGAAAATGCTCTTGGGTATTTATAGGCAAAATTATGGTATGAAAAGACAACTTTGCCCCTTAAAATTAGTAGAAGCTACAAGGGTAAACTTGGAACTTCATGTGCTCTTTTACATCATGCTTACTTCATCTCCATGACATCATCAAGGTTAGATGGCTTCCTCTCATTGGTCCAATTGTCCCTTAACTAAATTAAAATGTCATTTGGATTCCATAAACCAAATTTAATAAAATTTGAAATTCGAAATAATATTTTGATCATCACATGTCTTTCTTGAACCTTCCAACCAATAAAATTCTTCCATTTGGTAAATCTTAGAGGTAGAGATGGAAATGGATAGCTTCTATGAGAAGCTTACCAGATTTACTGTAATATTCATAATTTACCAATCCCTTTTCTCAATCTCGAACTCCTGTAGGACTGAAATATTTGTCATATCACTTTTGTCTTATTCTACTACCACTTCTCTTCTCTTTAATGCCTTCACATGGTACCATAATTACCCTATATGGTGCATTAATAAGCCATAAATGCTTTTGTCTTTTCTTTAGATATTTTCCTCTATTTACTTGGCTCTTATTTATTGGGATTTCTTCATGACGTTCTGGAGCTCTAAAAATTATTCTGTCTACCCCAAAAATTTCTTTTACTTTTAGAGAATATTTTTGAATTTTCTCAAGCCATAACTCATTCTATGGGTTCTACTTAAAAACCATTCTTTAAAATGCCCTTTAACGGCACAATCGGGCTTTATATTTTATTAAATCCATTCCACTGGCCTTCTAGGAGTGAGTCTAATTTTATAAATTAGTACAATCTCTCAACTATTTAACTTTATTTTTGCATATATTTTTTAGATTTGTTTATTACCCAAATAATTGCATCTATCTAAATACCTTAGACCGAGCTATTTACAGTAAAATTTCATTTTACTATAGGGGTATTTTTGTCATTATGAACCTTGAATGAGCCTTTATATATTATTTCTTATTTTTTGATTTTTTTTTTGAAATTTTTGTATACTTTTCATAATTACCCCTATTGGCCCGTAACTTTCTGAAATTATGTTTTTGCCCTTATTTGGGCTCAGCCTTATGAACCATCACTTTGAGGATTGTACCTCAATCTTAGATCTACACTTAACCTATTTTTCCTTTTTGAGCTCTTGAAACTCTATTGGAGTCCCTAACTTTATTTACACTTTTTCCCATAAAAACTTTCTCACTTTGCAGTTTAGTCCCTATTCCCTTTCTAGCTTCCTTTCGCATCTTTGAAACTTCTACTCAAAAGGGCTTTGATAGCCTACCTTCTTTAGGCTACTTTCTGGGCTTCTAGGCCTAAGATTTAGGATGTGACACATATTGGCTTTATCCAGATTATACTTGAGCTAAAAGGCATAGTTCTTAAGGAATTTCATCCATCAGTATTGCCTGTTATTTTGTTCCTTCTGATCTGTTAGATACTTCAAGTTCTTGTGATCATTGAAGACCTTGAACATTGAATCATACAAGTAATGGCTCTAGATTTTCAATGCAAAAACTACCACAGCCAACTCTAGGTTATGAGTAGGGTAATTCTTCTCATGTAGCCTTAATTGCCTAGATGTATAAGCAACCACCTTATCTTTCTACATTAAGACACACCCTAAACCCTTAAGTAAAGTATCTATGTAAAGGGTGTATGATTTATTAGGATTCATAAGAGTCAATACTAGGGTTATAGTCAACTTAGATTTCAACTCTTTGAAGGCTGCCTCATAATTCTCGTTGCAGATAAACAGTTAGTCATGCAACTTAGTCAAATTAAAGGCATGGCCATTTAAGAGAAACCCTTTAATATACCTCTGATAATACCTATTAAACCACAAAACTTCTTATCTTTGTCACAGATTTTGGTGATTCTTATTTCAAGACAGCATTAACCTTGCTAAGATCAATGACCACTCCCTTAACAGATATCATGTGGCTTAAGAAATTCACCTTTTTGAGCCAAAATTTGCACTTGTTTAACTTAGTGTATAATTGATGATCCCTCAATATTCGCAAGGTAATGGAAAGATACTCTTGGTGTTCTTTCTCGTTCCTAGATTACATTAGGATATCTTCTATAAACACCATAATGAACTTGTCCAAGTATGGCCTAAAGATTTGGTTTATATAGTTAATAAACACCGTTAGAGTATTCGTCAAACTAAAAGGCATTGCTAGGAACTCTTAGTGCCCATATCTGGTGCGAAAAGATGTCTTTAGGATGTCCTCTACTTTGACTCTCAACTAGTAATATCCAGATCATGCTTCCATTACCAAAAGGCATTGTCTTGAGGTGGCCAATTTCATCCAAACATGGAGGGGTGAAGGCCGATGGAATTTTTCTATAAATACCCCCTTAGAAAATACAAAAAAAATGTTGAAAAAATAGATAAACAAGGGGAGGTTCTACCATTTTTCTTCCAGCACCCTTCAACTGAAAATTCTAAGTGTTTTGGATAAGGAATCATTCAACATACACCAAGAAAATATTAAGGTATGCTTATGCCTTCCTATTCCTAAGTTTCAAGCTTGGTTAGTTGATGTTTTTAGCTTGGAAAATTAGGAAAAATTCTGCCAAAATTTTTGTGGACCTTGTGATGTTTAGGGAAGGATAAAAATATTAATAATCAAGTGGAATAAGAAAGATTAAGTGGTGTATGGATTGATTTTTGGATGAAATCAAAGTTAGGATTTAAGGGGAAGAAATTCATTCAGCACTATTCACATAGAAGCAATTTAATTTTGCTTGATTTGATGATTCTAATGGCTTTAAAACACGTTTTTGTGTAGGGATATGTTGTTGGAAAGTGTTTAAAATCATTGGAATCAAAAATGAAATTTTTAGAAGTTAAAAACCCCCCTATTCGTCCAAGTGAACTTCATGGGGAAGGAGTATGAATTTCAAAAATATGATTGTACCATTAGATTCCTCATAAAAAATTGTGTAGGGATGAGCCATAAGATGATTGATTCTAAAGAAGGAATCATTTTGTTAAAAATTAAGAGAAAAAAAGGAAAAATTGTTAAGTTAATGTTAAAGTGTTGGAATCAAGTTGTTAGTGATTAATTTAGCCTATGTTTATGCTTGGTTTGATAGGCATTGTGAGGAGAAACCAAGGAGAAGCTTTGTACCTTGAAGTAACCTAGTGGACAAGTGTTAAAAAGGTAGCTTTGAATTATAATTTAATTGTTAATCTTGCTTGTTTAATGTGATTTGCTGTTTGCTTGGATAAAGGAACTTGTGTTGTGGTATGGATTGGTTGAATAACATTGGTTTATGCTTTGGCCAAATGCATTGGTTTATGTCATTGTGGAAGTGCTGATGTTCCTCTTTTAGCATGGTGTTAAGCATAATTTTAAGGGGTTGATTATGCCTTGAGGTATCATAACATGTCACATGATAACTTGCTTGATTTGCATGATAATTGTAATTCAAATACTATTGAGATTTCATGAAAATCTCATTCCTCCTATGTTAAATTATGTCTCAAATAGGGAATGATTCATCTGATGGTAAGGGCAAGAAAATAATTTTGGGATAGAGGAGCAATTATGGAATTGATGCTATCATGTTATGTTGTGTAATGTATTAATGAACTTTATGTTGAGAGTATAATGGATTGTGAATCATATATGATGTAAATTATGTTTGCATGACATGCTTAAATGTTGCAATATTGAATGGTATAATGTCAAAAGAGTGTAGGAAAAAGAAAAATGGGAGATAAATTAAAAAAAGTAGCATTAGGGGATGAAATCTCCCTAAAAGAGACCAAACTTGTAGCACATAAAATGATGAGCAATTTTTAGAATTTGGACATGAAATTTTATAGGATTATACATCTCATTTTTAGCTTTAAAACAAGTGGTAAACCACTAAAATTGGAGTTTTGTGCTAAGAGTTATGTGCTTCCAAATTTGGGCAAAAATACTAGAAATTCGAAAATTTACCAAATAGACAGTGTACTTTGACGAATTTCCTGGAACTATTCTGGGTGGAATTGGATATAATGAGTATTTTTCTCCCATAGAAGTCTTAGCAAATTTCACGTGAAAATTAGAACCACATCGTTTTGATTTTTTTTAGAATTAGTTATGAATTTTCAAAGTTGGCTCATTTTTGGATGAACGGTGTATGGACAGGATGAACAGTAAAATCCTAAATTTTAAATTTTTCGCCCGAACGTATTACAAAATTTATATTGGTTCCAATTAATGTATAATGGGTTATAAAAAGAGGTGTGACAGGAGCTGTCCTTGGCACTAGCTCAATGAAGAACTCAACTTCCCTCTTTAGGGGTAAATTGAACACTTTCTTAAGGAATATCTTAGAAAACTCCCTCACTACCTGAATTTGCTCAATACCAACTTCTTTATCCATACTGAAAAAAAAAGAAGATAGTATAGGTTTGACAACCCTTCTGAATATACTTAGTTGTTTGAGTAGCAGACAATCACAAAGGACAATTAACAGTCTTAATTACCTTAATACACAAAGAGAGGGTTACCAATCTATGCCAATAATCACATCAATACCCTTAAAGGATAGACAAATCAAATCAATCATAGACTCATGGTTCTCAAATTTAAGTACAAGACTCAAACAAGCTTGTTTGGTTAACATAGTGGTTCCCGTTGTAGTTAACACTTTCAATAGGTAGGGTAAATCATGCATTGGGAATTTAAACTTTCAAGCACAATCCACGATAATAAAAGAATAAGTAGCACCAGGATCAAGCAACACAGGTATGTCATGTACTTGAAGAGAAACAGTAATTCTAATCAAATTGGGAGACACATTGGCCTCCTTCATAGTCAAAGCAAATGCTCTGCCTAGCACCATGGATTTGGAGCTAGCAGTCAGCTACTGCGCCCTGGACAATTGCGAGCTATGTGCCTAAATTTATGGCATTTATGGCATTCCCAGTACT